TTTGTCAACAGAAAGTGCGCCAACGTCGAACTCGCAAAAACTTTACGTGCAAAATTTGGGCCAGATACAGTCCTTATCCTTGGTAATTGGACCCCAGGCATGACCCGTTACCATGAGCCAATCCGTGGCAAGGGGCTGCGGAAAATGCCAATAGGTCAGGGATTCACTGTTTATTTGATCGACAAGGATTGTACTTCAACGTTTGCCCACTGTGTGAGAGTAGGATGGAGAATTTTCACAAAATTGATGATCCTCGTCTAAAGAACCCTAAGCACAAGTACCACGTCGCAATGGCAGCAGCAGCAGCAGAATGGTCAGCAGCAGCAGGAGCAGGTGGCTGCAACAGGCGTTAATACAATTCCGGCAGTAGAAAAATCTCGCCAAATTTATGATACGGCTTGCTCCAGTGCACAATGGAAAACAGTCTGCAAACCTTTAGGGCCGACGGAACCAAGATCAAGAATGGCAAAAAAGTGCCATCAGGCAGACAGAAGTGAAATCGTGACATGGCTATGGTGCTAAACTTTTGTATCATTCTTAACTCCCTTGCAGGCGAGCGTCCTCCCTGTTGCTTGCGCAAAAATGGATCATCAGGGTTGGCTGAAGCCGAGTCAACAGCGACATCCGAGACTTTGATCAATACCAAGTGTGTGCGCAAGAATCTATCTGCCCCTGCTTCTCTTTAAAAGAAGCAGCAAACTGATTAATATCCTCAACTATAGTGGTATATTGCCACTAGTTTCTAAATACTTTTTAGGTTGCTAGTCAATCTGAGGGAAGGATGTCGTTTTGAAGGATACTTGTAGCCTCATTCTTTTCCTATAGTGTAAATGTGCCAAATAAATTTAAATAAATTACTTTACCAGCGGAAAATTACAATCGTCGAGTTGTAAAGCTCAAAAAAACTTGGTTTGAAATTTTTACATTTATTTAAATTCAGATATTGTACCGTACAGATTAGTATTAAAAAGATAAGTGCATATTGATTTATAAATTGACCAAATCGCTGCTCAAACTAATAAAATTAAGAGAAACCAAAATCAAAACAATTTACAAAAATTTGATTGCTGTGTGTTAAAGACAAAAGCATACCACCAAACTCATCACGTTGTGGATTAAACCGGATATTTTGCCGAACATCACTGGATGCAAATCTTTTTACATGATTAGTGCCTTTTGCATGCTACCTTTATTTTTCTTTGTGAAAATTTTTCGGGTCAAGCAGAAAAATGGGTAAACTGGGCTGCTTTTCTACACAAAAACCAATTATTTATTCGATTACTAATGTGGTTTTCTGCCTGCTTTTCACAAATCCAATTAATTGATACACTGTTCCCATCTGTATTTGGAAAATACGTTTTTTCTATTGATTTGTAATCCTTGTTTTATTATTTTCTTCTCAATTATAACTATACTTATTGCATAATCTATATTTTTAGACTACAGTTGTAAATTCCGTGTACACAAAATGGGCAACCACATGTCATTTACAGTGACGGAGAGTGAGTTGCAACGCCAAAAAATTGCCGAGACAATGACCTTATCTTTAGATCCGCGAGGCAAATCAGACGCAATAATGATGACAGTATTTATGGCTACATACTTTATCAATCTACTAGCGGCCCTCTTCTTACTGTGGAACAGAAAATACCCACCGCTAAAGTCAAAGGGCCCAATACTCATGACCTTAATGATGGTAGTATCTGTGGTCTGGTTTGTCGGCGATCTCCAAGGCAATGGGCACCTGCCTTTGGCAAACACGCCACTGACTAACTGCAAGGCGTTTGGATTCTGGATGCGAATTCTAATGGGCGCGTGCACCATCTGTGCATTGACAGCATTCAGGGCGTACGGACTGTACCGTGTTTTTTTCCTGAATCTTCCATACCACACCATCGGACTATATCTGCCGTTTGTCATCTATTACACGATCATGCTTGTCTACGGAATTGTTTCGCAGGTACTGAAATCTTCTCTAACTATAGAGTACTCTGCGTCTCTCGACATTTGCAATTATACCCGGCCATTCAAGACGTCACTATTTGTGTTCATGTGGTTGAGCTGGGTCGCCATGATGGGGGTATTCTGGAAAATTCGTAATATCAAGAGTTCGTTCAACGAGGGTCGCGAAATGATGGTAACATGTGGAATCATATTTGTATTGCTTGTAGCTGCAACAACTATAAACTTTACACGCCCAAGTTATCCACTGTACCTTTCATTGCGCATGCTAACCACAATTTTAAACCACCTTGCAACTACAGTACTCTGGTGGCTTATTATGGCAGTGCCCATGTACAACTGCATGTTTAATCGGCAGGAGTACCTCAGTCGGTGGATTCTGAAGCTGCGCAAAGACGGTCTGCAGAACGAATACGATGACGACCCAAGCGCACCCAATGGTCATAGCCATGTACTGTCGGCCTCGTACAATGTGCGCAATAACATGCTGTATTCAGGTACCAGCGGCAAGGGGGATAGCAAGGGATTCCAACAACTTGGCGACGGAGGCTACCAGAGCAAGGGTAACGTATCTCAACTAGGTTCTCGCGGGAAATTTATACAGCCTCTCGAAAATACGCTTTACCATAATAACAACACAGCTTACAATCAGAATTCTCGGTCTTTGGGTGCAATAGAGCAACGCCTAGAAAACGTCATAATGGAAGCAAGACCAGAGTCGCCGACATTTAACGCATCAAACGGAATTTAGAATCCTATCATTGTAGTATGTTTATGCTTACTTAATACAAAATGCTCATCTTAGTTTTAGAATTTTCAAATGTATGATACACATGACCAGACTAAATTAGCATTTTACCTTGCTCAGTTCAATGATAATTAGGCTAAAATCCTTTTTAAATAATATTCGAGCAAAATCCTTGATAAGATAATATTTTTCACACCCAAATATTTTGTCTTAACTTTGAAATATAAAAAATCAGTTTGCCAAAATTATCCCGATAATATAATTGTAAAAAATCAATTGTTTTAATATAATTGTTTGATTTTATTGGGTTGTATGGCTCTTAAATGCACCAGGCATTTAGACAAATTTGAAATTCAAGCCTAGTTGGTAAAAATCAGCAACTGTTATAATTATACTGGGAAGAAATACGAGTTTGAATCTGAATTTGTCCCCCAAAGATGTATATCAATATTAATGTACTTGTTTTTTATTTCTTATCATTCCCGACTTTTAATATTTTTACACAAAGCCCATGCACGTTTTGTTGGTCTGACGATATTCAGACACTCTTTTGCATATTTTGTTACAATCCACTTTCCGCTTATTCTTTGTGTTTTGCATGCATTGTTTGCATGGACCTTTTTTGGTTCCCACAAGACCTGTTGATCGTTCTATCCACACACCTACCCATCTATCTATCCATTTATTTTTTGTACATTTACAAATTGTATAATATTTTAAATATATTGCAGCTGCATGTATGCATTTACCCCGGAAAGTCATTTGTTTTTAAAAAATAATATAAAAGCATGTCAACAAAAACAAGGAACAAACGCACATAATAATATTTTTAATTCAAAAAAGCATAGTAAAATATGATTCACCGGCTGTTTGTATTTCTGTGCTCACCCATTTACTCATTCACGCATTTCCATTGTGATTTCTGCTTTACGATATATGCAACCGCTCTTTTTTTGATGAAAGGTTCATGTATTTTTTATTTTACTACATTGCCAATTCATTTTTCAGACTCGACTTATTTTACGCTAATATTGTTTTGCTATTATATTTTTTATTTAACAAATGGGAAACCAGCTATCGTTTTCACTGACAGAATGCGAGCTGGGGCGTCAAAAGGTTGGCGTGACCATGGATATGAAGGTGGACCCACACGGCAAAGCGGACAAGATCATGCTTATTGTCATTTCAATAATCTATTTAATAGACTTTGCGGCAGTGCTCTATATGCTGTGGAACATAAAGTATCCGCCGTTGAAGGCCAAAAATCCAACCATCATGACCCTGGTAATGATTGCATCTATAGTGTGGTTTGTTGGTGATCTGCAAACCAATGGACACGTTCCTCTGGCAAACACACCCATGACTAACTGCAAGGCGTTTGGAATTTGGGCTCGGTTGTTGTCTGGCGTGTGTTTACATAACTCATTGATATCGTTGAGGGCGTATGGAATGTACCGTATGTTTTACCTCCATCTCCCGTATCACGGCCTGGGACTTTATCTTCCGTATTTTTTGTATATCCTGTGTCTAATTGTCTTTGGAGTTGTTGCACAAGTGCTTAGTCCTGCCATATCGACTATATATGTTTCGGGCTTTGACATTTGCTCCTACACTGCGGGGTTCAAGGCGGCCATGTTTGGGTTTCTGGGGGCGACCGTGCTTATTGGGGCAATTTCTCTTTGGAAGGTCTGCAGTATCAAGAGCTCGTTTAACGAGAGCCGGGAAACGCTTATTTCGTACATTATTATGGTTGTAGCACTTGCGTTTGCAATTGCAGTTTTGTACATTGGTCCAAAATACACCCTAGACATACGTTTGCGCATCATATTTATATCGCTGTCGCATTTCCTGGCAAATATATTGTGGTGGCTTATCATGGTGGTGCCCATGTACAAATGTCTATTTGATCACGAGCGGTATCTCAAACAGTGGATCAGCAAGCTGCGCAAGGACGGACTGCAAAAGGAGTATGATATCAATTCAAACACGTCCACTGCCAACAGCCACCGACTTTCAAGCTCGCACAACAGAAACAGCACACTGCTAGCAAGCAACAAAGGTTGCAAAAAGGACGGAAATTTTTATACAATGGAAGAAAGTGTTTATGAAGACGGTGACAGTATTAGAGAAGGCAGGTGACCTTGATGTGAAGCACTTTTTATTATATTTTAATTTTAATTCATAATAATTCACAAATTAAGAATTTTACAATTGTTTCTGGGTTAAAGGCTGTTATAATTTACTAATTTTTAATGTCATGACGCAACATTTTGGCAACGTGTAGATGTAATAAATAACAATGAGGTTTACAAGGAATTTATATATAGTTTTCTAAGTATAATTACTCATATTATTCGGCTTTTGTTATATTTAACATTTGTTATAAACCAACTCAGTTATTCAATTGTACAAATGTATACAAAGTCTACGACTGGTATATTCAATGTGTTAATGTACGCTTGGAGTGCCAAAAATGACGCTTCAAAAT